ATCTATCTATCTATCTATCTATCTATCTATCTATCTATCTATCTATCTATCTATTTATCTTTGAGACAGTATCTCATGCAGCTCAGGCTGGCCTGAAAAAAATCGCTTTGTAGCCAAGTCTGGCTACTGACTCCTGATCTTGCCTCCTGCCTCCCAAGTGGCAACATTACATGCATGCTCCACCGTTCCCATCTGGGGCAAAAGTGACAGATACCTTAACATCTAAATCCTTTTTGTTCATCAGAAATCAAGTTAGTTCCAAAATACCTACAGAAAATTAAAAACTGTTTCAATGAAATCTTGATACTGTAGAACCTAGAGATAGTCCTTATTCACAGGCCAGAAACTCTTGCAGTCTTAGCACTCAATTAAACATCCTTTCTTTTTAACATTAGCCATCCAGACAATTTGAAAGAGGAGAATTAGACCTCAAAGCTCTATGAAACAACAATGAACAACAAAGAAACACCACCAAACTACCAGTCTCTTTCATATGTCCAGAAAAGATGGCATGTGAAAAAAATCAAGCTTATGAGATGGCATGGAACAGTGAGTCTCAACCTTCCTAATGCTGTGACCCGTAACACAGTTCCTCGTATTATGGTAACCTCCAACCATAAAAATATCTTCATTGACACTTCACAGTTATAATTTTGCATATTATATGTAAATGTCTGATATTCAAGATATCTGATAAATGACCCCTGTTGAAGGGGTCCTGACCACAGGTTGAGAATCACTGACTTAGATGAAGACAGACTTCTGCTGCCTTTTCTCCTTGATAAAGACATTTATTTCTAAAGACTCAAGGATAAACTAAATTATCTAATAACCAAACTAATTAACTAATAACCAAACTAAACGGTAAACCAAAAAATAAAAGAATCAACAACAAAAGGAAAAGTAGCAAAATATTGTACTCTGCATGTCTGAGCTCAGACTCATCAGGATATCTGGCACAAGAGCACCAAATGCTGTTGATTTCAATTCCTCTCACCTGGTTCACCAAAGGAATAAGTAGGATAAGGCCTGATGCAGCTTGCAGGGTGTTGATGTATTGGGACAGTGACCCTTATATAGCTTCTAAGTTGGGTGCTGTCTTCTGTGGGATGGGCTGATTCATTTCTAATCAAACTTAACCCCACCCCTTGCATGTTTATCTTCCTTCTTTACATTCTCATCTCTAAGATGATTGCAGAAAGGGTGGTAATCGCCCCACCTTCCACAATGAAGACATGCTCTGGGATGCTCTCCTGTAGGGTCATATATAGTGAAAAACAGAGACTTTGTTGTAGAGCATTTATGTGTGTTTTTATCATAGCATTCAAAGAAGGTAGCAGAGTATTAGATACTTAGCAGGTGCATGATGAAGATTTTTTTAATTGCAAATGAACCCAGGCCACTAAGCTTATCCAATTCATGTCTTTTGAAATCATAGTTACCATTTATTGAGAACTTACTCTGTTCAGATAAGTGTGTTGAATATGCCACTCTTATCATGTTGTCTTGTAGTGTTTGCATATGTCTGTTTGTCCCACATTACAGATAAAGACATAGGTTAAAAGAATTCAAAGACATAGCTATATGATACAAGAACCAAGATTTGAACATATAATTATCTTATTGCAATGCTGATGCTGTAATCATTATTTTAGCTTACCCTTATTATATAACTATTATGAAAAAAATGAATCTGGGATTTATACCATATATACATTTTAAGAATGTCATGTATTCTGAAATAGGAATAATATGAAAGGGCAATGTATGGAATGGTGAAAGCCATGAGAAGAAGAAATAATCTCTGATCTATTTTTTTTTTGTGGCTAAGTATAAGGGCTACAAATAAAAGTAATGTTTTCAGAAGTGTTTAAGATGAATTTAGAGTGAGATTTTCTTCCAGTACCCTACTATTCACTGTTAGCCTGGTATCTTTGGGCCTAGCCTTTTGGGAAACTATATGTCTCTTAGAGAAGAATATGTATATAGTATATATCATGTTTTGATGGGTGGCAAAATAATCAGAAAACTGCATTAGGTGTGATGAATCAACTCTTCTGTATTCATTACCAAGGCAGTGGTGGCAGCAGCTGGCATTAATTGATTACTGTCTTCTGTTTTGTCTACTTTACTACTTTATTTCTCAGATAATTTGTGAGGTTAGTATCATGAAATGAAAGTATAAAGAAATTTTAAAATGTGACTAAAATCTCAGCATTATCAGAAGGAAAAGTGACTCACTATACTGGATGCTAAAGCCTGTCCTAGAGTTGCAGATTCACCATGTGTCTGGGGTCAGTCATCTGCTGTATGGGCATTACTTTGGGGATAGTTATTGTCTAGACAGTCCCTTGATCTTAGCAACTACTGAGAATGAGTATCTGTTCATAAACATCTAATGGATTAGTCCCTGAGAGGCAACACTGCTCCTGTTTCCCAGGGAGTCCTAAACTAATACAACCACAGAAAGTTAATCTTTTCCTGTGGCTATTATAGCTCTCAGTTGTTGAACTCTTTTGAAATTGTGTTTCTTTTTCTGAAAGTGGTTGAGTCAGAAAGACTGTGGGGACTCATGCTCATACTGAAGTAAAAGTTTAAGTCAGACTTACACTGAATTTCAGCATTTATTTGGAACTTAGAAACTCTATCATAACATTCTGATGATCAGAACTTCACCAATTCAATATTTTGTATTC